AAGGGGTTCGGGCGGACGTCCCGAGGGCGGAACAGAGGGACCAAGGGGTTCGGGCGGACGTCCCGAGGGCGGAACAGAGGGACCAAGGGGTTCGGGCGGACGTCCCGAGGGCGGAACAGAGGGACCAAGGGGTTCGGGCGGACGTCCCGAGGGCGGAACAGAGGGACCAAGGGGTTCGGGCGGAACAGAGGGACCAAGGGGTTCGGGCGGAACAGAGGGACCAAGGGGTTCGGGCGGAACAGAGGGACCAAGGGGTTCGGGCGGACGTCCCGAGGGCGGAACAGAGGGACCAAGGGGTCCGGGCGGACGTCCCGAGGGCGGAACAGAGGGACCAAGGGGTCCGGGCGGACGTCCCGAGGGCGGAACAGAGGGACCAAGGGGTCCGGGCGGACGTCCCGAGGGCGGAACAGAGGGACCAAGGGGTCCGGGCGGACGTCCCGAGGGCGGAACAGAGGGACCAAGGGGTCCGGGCGGACGTCCCGAGGGCGAAACAGAGGGACCAAGGGGTTCAGGGGGGTCAGGTTGGTCCGACGGGCAGCCCGAGGGCGGACAGGGGGAGCCAGGAAGTTCAGGGGAGCAGGGTTGGTCCGACAGGCAGCCCGAGGGCGGACAGGGGGAGCCAGGAAGTTCAGGGGAGCAGGGTTGGTCCGACGGGCAGCCCGAGGGCGGACAGGGGGAGCCAGGAAGTTCAGGGGGGCAAGTCGAATGCAGAGCAGGAGAGCCAGGAGGGTCCGGCGGGACAGGGGAGCCCGAGGGCAGACCAGGGGAGCCAGGAGGGTCCGGCGGGCGGCCCAAGGGCGGACAGGGGGAGCCAGGAGGTTCAGGGGGGCAAGTCGAATGCAGAGCAGGAGAGCCAGGAGGGTCCGGCGGGACAGGGGAGCCCGAGGGCAGACCAGGGGAGCCAGGAGGGTCCGGCGGGACAGGGGAGCCCGAGGGCAGACCAGGGGAGCCAGGAGGGTCCGGCGGGCGGCCCGAGGGCGGACCAGGGGAGCCAGAGGGCGGACCAGGGAAGCCAGGGGGGCTCGGCGGGCGGCCTGAGGGCGGGCCAGGGGGGCTCGGCGGGCGGCCTGAGGGCGGGCCAGGGGGGCTCGGCGGGCGGCCCGAGGGCGGGCGAGGGGAGCCAGAGGGCGGACCAGGGAAGCCAGGGGGGTCCGGCGGGCGGCCCGAGGGCGGGCCAGGGGAGCCAGAGGGCGGACCAGGGAAGCCAGGGGGGTCCGGCGGGCGGCCCGAGGGCGGGCCAGGGGAGCCCGGCGGGCGGCCCGAGGGCGGACCAGGGAGGGTCCGGCGGGCGGCCCGAGGGCGGACCAGGGGAGCCAGGAGGGTCCGGCGGGCGGCCCGAGGGCGGACCAGGGGAGCCAGGAGGGTCCGGCGGGCGGCCCGAGGGCGGACCAGGGGAGCCAGGAGGGTCCGGCGGGCGGCCCGAGGGCGGACCAGGGAGGGTCCGGCGGGCGGCCCGAGGGCGGACCAGGGGAGCCAGGAGGGTCCGGCGGACCAGGAGGGTCCGGCGGGCGGCCCGAGGGCGGACCAGGGGAGCCAGGAGGGTCCGGCGGGCGGCCCGAGGGCGGACCAGGGGAGCCAGGAGGGTCCGGCGGACCAGGGGAGCCAGGAGGGTCCGGCGGACCAGGGGAGCCAGGAGGGTCCGGCGGACCAGGGGAGCTCGGTGGGCGGCCCGAGGGCGGACCAGGGGAGTCTGGAGGGCGGCCCGAGGGCTGGGCTAGGGGGCGAGACGACCTCTCCAGAGGCCGGGGAGCCGGGCAGGGAGCCGGGCGTGGCGACCTCACCAGAGGCCGGGGAGCAAGGCGAGACAAGCCAGAGAGTTCGGGCGGGCGGCCCGAGGGACGGACTAGGGGGCGAGACGACCTCTCCAGAGGCCGGGGAGCCGGGCAGGGAGCCGGGCAGGGAGCCGGGCGTGGCGACCTCACCAGAGGCCGGGGAGCCGGGCGTGGCGGCCTCACCAGAGGCCGGGGAGCCGGGCGTGGCGGCCGGGAAGCCGGGCGTGGCGGCCTCACCAGAGGCCGGGGAGCCGGGCGTGGCGGCCGGGAAGCCGGGCGTGGCGGCCGGGAAGCCGGGCGTGGCGGCCTCTCCAGAGGCCGGGGAGCAAGGCGAGACAAGCCAGAGAGTTCGGGCGGGCGGCCCGAGGGACGGGCTAGGGGGCGAGACGACCTCTCCAGAAGCCGGGGAGCAAGGCGAGACAAGCCAGAGAGTTCGGGCGGGCGGCCCGAGGGACGGGCTAGGGGGCGAGACGACCTCTCCTGAGGCCGGGGAGCCGGGCGTGGCAGCCGGGGAGCCGGGCGTGGCGACCTCACTAGAGGCCGGGGAGCCGGGCGAGACAAGCCAGAGAGTTCGGGCGGGCGGCCCGAGGGACGGGCTAGGGGGCGAGACGACCTCTCCAGAGGCCGGGGAGCCGGGCGTGGCGGCCTCTCCAGAGGCCGGGGAGCCGGGCGTGGGGCTGGCAGCGCGACAGCAGCGGGGGGAGTCAGGGATGAGGCTGCTGGGCTGAGGGCCTCGGTGCGAGGAACAGGGGTCGGCCGGACCACCGGCGGGGCTGAGGCCGGTCCGTCCGCCAACAGAACACGAGGAGCAGGGGTCGGCCGGACCACCGGCGGGGCTGAAGCCGGTCCGTCCGCCAACAGAACACGAGGAGCAGGGGTCGGCCGGACCACCGGCGGGGCTGAAGCCGGTCCGTCCGCCAACAGAACACGAGGAGCAGGGGTCGGCCGGACCACCGGCGGGGCTGAAGCCGGTCCGTCCGCCAACAGAACATGAGGAGCAGGGGTCGGCCGGACCACCGGCGGGGCTGAAGCCGGTCCGTCCGCCAACAGAACACGAGGAGCAGGGGTCGGCCGGACCACCGGCGGGGCTGAAGCCGGTCCGTCCGCCAACAGAACACGAGGAGCAGGGGTCGGCCGGACCACCGGCGGGGCTGAAGCCGGTCCGTCCGCCAACAGAACACGAGGAGCAGGGGTCGGCCGGACCACCGGCGGGGCTGTAGCCGGTCCGTCCGCCAACAGAACACGAGGAGCAGGGGTCGGCCGGACCACCGGCGGGGCTGTAGCCGGTCCGTCCGCCAACAGAACACGAGGAGCAGGGGTCGGCCGGACCACCGGCGGGGCTGAAGCCGGTCCGTCCGCCAACAGAACACGAGGAGCAGTGGCCCTAAGGGGGGGATCGGGGGGGCCAGGCTGGGGGCTAGCGGCGCTAGCAGGCTGAGGGACAGGCTGGGGATCGGGGCAAACTGGCTGGGGATCAGGGCCAGGCTGGGGGCTAGCGGCGCTAGCCGGCTGAGGGACTGGGCCAGGCTGGGGGCTAGCGGCGCTAGTGAGCTGGGGATCAGGAGGGACTGACTGGAGGCTAGCGGCGCCCGCCGCTAGAGGGACAGGCAGGGGACCAGCGGGCCGCATGCTAAGCCCAGCAAGAAGAGCACCGGGGGAATTCAGGGCCGATCGCAGGGCTTCCTTGAGGCGACCCACCTCCCAAAGCAGCTCAGCCATGCCTGGAGTACGCAGTAGGCGCGGTTGTTGACCCAGAGCCCTCTCGAAGCCGACTAGCGCGTCCAGCCTCTTGTGCCAATCCTCCACCCTTAAGTCCCCGAGAAGACTGTCCGCGAGGGTCCTCACCTGGCAGAGATCCTCTGTGGAGGGGCTAACGGCCGCCAGGCCCACCTCCGGTCCGGTCCAGCAGTCTCCGAGCTCTGGCCGAGGTAACGGACCAGATGCAGACACCGGCAGGGGCGCGCTTAGGGGCTCCTTGGCGGGGGGAAGGGCCAGGGCGTGGAGGAAGCTGGCATCCCATGGTGGGATGAAATCCCTCAGGCGAGGCTCAGCCCACAGCAGCTGTTGGGCCCTGGCGCGGAAAGCCTTCTTCAGGCCGTCATTTATGGCTCCCTTCCACAGCTCTTTGAGCTTGAGGAAGTCCCGGAGCCAGGACTCAAATTCCAAGGAGTCGGTGGAGAGGGGGGAGGGTGAGTGAGCTGGGTCCATGCGTGGCTTGATCGTTCTGTTACGGGGTGTGGTGTGTGGACAGAGAGGACCCAAATGCTGCACTCAGAGGGAAGGAGGTTTATTGGGGGAAAAAAGGGTGAGAGGGACTGGAGTGGAGGGAGAGGAGGACGTCGGGGAAGTACTGGCACGGGGAACCAAGGAGACAGGGGGCCAGGGAGCCGGGGAACACGGGCCGAGGAAGCGAGGAGAGGCAGGGGAACAGGGAGGACGCCGAGAGGGAGGTCCGAAGGGGAGTGGGCCAGTGGATGAGCCCAGCCGAGCGGAGGACGAGGGTGAGTGTACCTGGGAGGGAAACAAACAGAGAGACAAGGTTAGGGGGAGACAATGACAAGGCACAGGGTAAGTTTGAAAAAACAAGAAACAAGGAAGCCTGAACACAGGAGTGGCACCAGGTATGGAGCAACGACGATCAAGCAAGGATGGTGTGGAGAACCGGGGTTGAAATACAGGCTGGGATGAGGTTGATTACTGGCAGGTGTGGCAGGCTGACGAGGTGGATGATGGGTTGCAGGTGCAGGTAGTTGGCTGGGCTCAGGAGCAGAGGGAGAGAGAGCACACGGGGGAGAAAACACAGAGAGGCGGGCAGAGAACAGGAAACCGAGGGAAAAAGCAGAAAAACTGATAAAAAGTAGAAAAAACCAGGACACTCACCGTCAGCCGGGCTGCCACCACAACACTACTGCTCTAATCCATGTTTACAGAATAGTCACTGTAATACATTCATAGCCATAGTTGACTTACTTGAGGTTGTGTTTACATATTCTTTACATTTCATGTCTAAAAGCTACAACAACTTTATGTTGTATGTTAATCACCTCAGTTATTACATGATTACATTGAGATTAAGACTTGCCCATTAGGCTGGTTTGCACAGGGTTGCAGTGGAGTGAGGGGAGGCGGATAGATGGGATTGGTCAGCAGTTTGAATGACTGGCCGGCTGACCTCAGCGCTGCACCCTCCACATCACCACCCACCGCACTGCTGCAGTATAAGCCTGTGGTCCATCCTCAGCTTTCACTCTCCGGACTCGCAACAGACAACTAACTCCTGCCTGGACTGACATTGAGGTAAGGTTATTACGTCATCATTAAACTTAATACATGAAACTTAATACAGGAAAAGCCAAAATATGAAAAAGAAAAAACCTTAAAAACTTGATTTTCCAGCATCCAACGTGTCAAAATACAGTTTATAATACTGTTTTAATCATATATTGTATCTGTTTTAGGTTGATGCAGCACTTTTTTTGCACTGTCATGCTAGTAAAATGTAGATTTAGTGAGTGGTATAGATGGAAAACAACTTCATGAACTTTGTGCTGTGTGATGTTGATTATTCTTAGTCATTTTGGTTTTGTAGACACTGATAACTATGCATTTGCATGTATTAAAAACGAATGATATTTAAAATTGGATGCTGTCTCTGCTTTAAAGAATGTACATTTCATCATGTGAGACTGACTTCTAACAATATCCTTAACAAACATATGTTTTTCTGATTATGATGCAATCAAAGAACAGTGAGCTGATTTTAAATGTGCTATACAAAAGATTTAACCCTTTATTCATCCTTAAAATAATCTTCTGATCAATGCTGATTCTTTTTTTTTTTTCCTGAAGGTTGTTTACCAGTGAGTAAATCCTGATCTCACTGTGTCTCTGATTTTTATTTATTCCTGTTTATGAAAAGGTGAAAAGACAGATGACAATGACCGACCTGGAGACCTCGATGGCGACCATCATCGCAGTGTTTCAGAAGTATTCAGAAAGAGAAGGAGACAAGCACAAGCTGAAAAAGAGCGAGCTGAAGGATCTGCTTAACGACGAGCTGCCAGATCTGATGACGGTGAGACGCACAGATTCAGATCCTTTTACTTAAGTTAAAACAGGGTGGAAATAATGTTTCCGTACTAGCAAAAGTACATTCAGTGTGGAGTAAGTTAAACTGTCCCCTGGTGTGGTGATGTTACAAGATTGGTTGATAAAGAAAGTTCAGTTTTGAGGTAATTGAGTATTTCCATTTCATACTTCACAACAATGCAGGAGCAAATATGGTACTTTCTACTCCATTATGTTAATTAGACCTGTGTAGTTACTTGATATTAATTCAAAACATGTGATTATAGAGTATGATGCATTGTAATATCACCCTACTCAAAAAAGTAGAGTAGGTAAAATTAGATCCTCCACAACCAGATAAAATATTAAAATGCAGCATTCATCTTAATGGCGTAGTGGTAATATAACCCTACAATATAATACAACAAGTAATTTTTTCTTTGTAATCATTTTTTGTACTTCATTTGAAGATACAGTAAGAAATACTTTTTTATTTTAGATACTATAAATACACCAGTAAATGGTTAAAGTTACTTCATCCTTTTATATTTTATCCAAACACGTTCAATTTATTGTCCTTAGTCGTATAAGATGCCCTGATGTGAACTTCCCATCCTGCCCTTCAGCATGTGAAAGACCAGGCCACACTTGACAGCCTGATGGAAAGCCTGGACACTGACGGCGACGCCGAGTGCGACTTCCAGGAGTTCATGACATTCATCTCTGTGGTTACCGTCTGTTGCCACGAGTTCTTCGAGCACGAGGACGAGTAAAGGAGGAGGCGAGCACGGAGACAAAGGGGGAGCTACAGTAAATTATAAAGAAGGAGAAGCCTAGCAACGCACAACCTTCTTTGTGCCTTCAGAGCAGGGCAACGTCAGCCAGCAGCCAAAACATCATTGGTGAGGTTTGACTGGTGGCTGGCAAACAGTCCAATGTAGTTACTTTAGCTAAAATCAGATAAAATGTTCCTGCTATTTTATATTTGATTCTAAATATTTAGATGGCTTGTGAAGTCTTCAAAGTGGCTTTTGGATTTTGGTGTGGCTACAAAGAAAACTTAAGTCGTCTACTCGTTTGGAGTTTGTCTTCTACAGTTGAGATGTGGCTGATAAGTTAGTCAACCAACTACTTAAAGGCACCTGTGTTTAATAAAGCTTGTTGACTATCAAATATTGAAAGTGCCTCCTAAGTTGGTCGTCATTTAAAAAAATCTGAATAGTCTAATGGGCTAGTAAAAGTTAAGATGGCTTTTTGATTTTGGTTTGACAACAAAGTTTGTTACTAAGCCACTGATGCCCTTAATTGTCTTTTTTTAACAGCCAATTTAGCATAATTTCCAACCCCATTCTATAAGTAAAGCTGTTTAAAAACGTTTGAAAAGTACTGACTCGATTTTGTGTATGGCTACCAACTTTGACTACCAAGTTCAGCAAAAAGCAATCAGTGATTTAAGGTTCTTCTGTTGAATGTCTCAAGGGCCAGTAAAGTTGTAAAAATGACTGGTAAGTCTGTCTGCTCTACACATAATGGTCTTTTAATTGTTTAAACGATTGTGGCTGGTATATTTCAGATGTGGCTAGTGAGTTAGCCATTCTTTTGAGTTTTAACATTTTAAGAGGCCAGTAAATTGAAAAAGTGACTAACATTTTTATCAACTCCAGTAGCCACTTTAAGAGTCAACTGACTATTAGAGGCACCTGCGTTTGAAAAATCTCGTTGACTATCAAATATTAAAAGTGGCTTTTACGTTTGTTGTCATTTAAAACACATTTAATTGGCTTGCAAAAGTTTTAAAATGGCTCATGAGTTTTAGCTAATCTAGAAGACATCTTTCAGACATTTTAGAAAATGTAGTTGACTATCAAATATTGAAAATGGCTTGTAAGTTTGTCCTCATTTAAAACTGGCTAGTTAACATTTAAAATGGCTTTACATAATCTAGAAGCCACTTAAGATGCAACGAGTTCACCAATTTTTCAGACATTTTTAAAAATGTAGTTCACTATCAAATATTGAAAGTGTCGTTTAAATTTGTCATCATTTAAAACACATTTTTTTGGCTAATAAACATTTAAAACGGCTTGTGAGTTTTAGCTACAAGCAATTTTTCAGAGAACATTTTAGAAAATGTAGTTGACTACCATATATGAAAGTGGCTTTTAAGTTTGTCCTCATTTAAAACATATTTGATTGGCTAGTAAAAGTTTTAAAATGGCTTGTAAGTTTAATATAATCCAGAAGCCACTTTGGAAGCAACAATTTAGGAGTTGACCTATTTTACAGATTTAAAAAATCTAATTGACTGTCAAACATTGAAAGTGGCTTTTAAGCTTGTCTTCATTAAAAACACATTTAATTGGCTATTAAAAGTTCCAAAAGGGCTTGTGAGTTTTAGCTAATCCAGAAACAGTTTTTCAGACAACATTTTAGAAAATGAAATTGACTATCAAATACTGAAAGTGTTTTAAGTTTGTCGTCATTTAAAATACATTTGATTGAGTTTTTAAATGGCTTGTGAGTTTAACATTATCACTTTGGAAGCGACAGTTTAGGAGAAATCTAGTTGACAGTTAAAATTTAAACTGACAGGTTAAAGTTAATTGGCTAGTAAATTTCTAAAATGACTTTTGTAGTTGCCAGTTTGGTAGAAAACCAGCCATAATTTCAAATTATATTGTAAAATGAAAGTCTGGCTGGTAGATTTTGAATGTTGCTAGTAAAGTTGCATTTATTTGATGTTTTACAAAAACACTGGGCTTGTCAAAGTGGCTGATAAGTTGTTTGTTTGTTCCTTGTTTAGAAGCTCTTTTTACTTTAGATAGTTGGTAAACAAGTAATCTACCATTCTTTGCATCATAAAAATAAATAATAATTATAAAATGCTAGGATTTTGTAGCAGTTATTAGCTATCATATTCAACCTGCTAGAATTTTATGTAACTCTTCTCTTCATGTAAAGAAAACATAGAAAATCTGTTGGAACAGAAGAGTTTGTCTGCGTATTTGAAATGTTGAGCACTGGTTTGTTTGGATGTTGGTGATATGAAACGAAATAAATTATCATTGTGGGACTGAGTTTGAAAATGTTTTTTGTGGGATAGAGTAGACATTCAACTGATTAACTGAAAAGGAGGAAAAGCACGTTCTTAAAATTTATTGCAAAAAAATGGCACATGGAAACGTGATGGCTGATTAACGTCATTGTGCTTTTTAAAAGAAAGTAGTTTACAAAAAAAGAACACAGATTATGCAACATTAATTCTGTTTATTTTACTGAGCCAAGATGATTAAATAGATTTATGGTTGTTTGTTTTTCCCCAAAATGTGCAAAAATGCCATTTCTGAAATGAACTTGCCCAATTTATGTTTGGCAAAATATTAATAGAAACAAAGGAACCAACTTTTACAGTGCTTCTACAGAGGCCCTCAACCATGAAGCACCTGTTGTTTATTGTTTTTCTCAGTGTGTTGCATGCTGCCTTGAGTGTAGATGATTCTTTTTGGTACGGTTAGTGTCTTGAGAGATACTGGATCCTAATTTTCTGCAGACTTTGGATCAGTGTTTTCACCCCTTAGACAAAAACTCTATGCATAAACCAAAACTAAACATTTAGACAGAGAACTTTATAAGAAAGTAAGAAAACCGATTCAGTCATTAAAATGCTTTTTTTTTGTCAGATTTGCAAGAAATCCGGATTCGTGCCAACACATTGAAACCTTAAACTCAGTGACCTTCTTTAATCCCTGTAGAGTTGAAGCATACAGAACTTTCTTTTACAGTCTTTCATGACAGGAAATCGCGTCAATTGTTGGTTCTTATCACACCATTATGTCACTTTAAAGAAAGCTGAGCATTTTCCCACAGTGTTCAGTCCAGATTTGCCGAGAACAATGCCAAATAAACTTCACTGACATTAACACTGGCATTGCCTCAAATATTACAAGTCAGTGTGAACCACCATCTAATCTTTTACAACCTTCAGGTGTGAGGTAAGTTAAGGCTCTCCCCACTGACCTCATTAACCTCAACCTAATTAACTACATGATTAGAGTCACCTGAAGGTGAAGTGAGCCTAAAAACATTTGCTGTATATTTCTGCTCCCTACAGATTACATAAAACGTGAAATCATGTCCAGAATATTTCCAGGAGTTTTATAACAGATTGTCAGGTTTTGGTATCAGTCCCTCAAAATCTTTACGCGTTTCATTTCACATTTCACTCAGTCCTCCATAGTGTCCGTCCTTCCAATGAGACGGCTTCACAGTGAGACAAAGCTAGAGAAGAAATCCATTGTAAAGAGCCACATATTTAAACAATTACTATGGCACTCTTCTCTGGTTGTTTGGGGCATTCTGGAAACCATAGGAAACCACTAGAAAAGTCCTGCACATGCTGAACATGGCAGAGTTAACATCCACATTAATTTACAGGCATGGGGTGAATTATTAAACACAATATGTGTAAACAGTCACACACACAGGGTCACACATCTGTGTTGTGTGTGTGTGTGTGTGGTTAAGATATGATGTAAGAGGC